AGGGCAGGAAAAAAACCGGTGTCTGATGTCAAAATCCAAGCGCGGCGGCGTAGTCACAGTTAGAGGGGGCAGGAGGAAGGGGTTTTCTCCCGGGGTTTTCACCGTGGAAGTTATCCTGATGAAATCCCGGCGGCTGGAGGAGATGCCCACGGCCACGGCAGCGAACCCGGGCAGAGCCGGAATGGTCCTCAGCCCTCCAGGATGGGCAGTCATAGCAACATCAACTACAATATGAAGGTTTTTTTCCCCACTCTTTACACGAAAAACAGCAGGAAGGACCCCAGGGAGGTATTTCTTGGCTGAAACACCTTTTTAAGGTGCAAAAAAAAAAAGTTTCTAGGAATTAACCAAGAGCTCAAAAAGGCATCCAGCCTTAACCTGCCGCCCGTCCCGCGGGCTTGCAGAGCCTGGGGACCCTCACACCATCTCGTCCCTGCTCAGGGGTGGCCGAGCACCCCAACCCCGGCTCCCGGGGGGCTTCGTAACCCCCAAACCTACACCGCTTACAGCTCCAGCAGTCCTGCCCGGAGATCCCGATTTCCCGGACACGGAGATCCCGATTTCCCGGACACAGCCGCTGTTCCCCAACCCCACAGGAATCCCTGCTGAGTCCTTGCTGAGGTCCTGCCTCCGTCGCACCCATCCCGGTGCGCGACGTTCGCTCCGCATCAGCCGTGGCTGGGCAGCGGGAGGCAGAGGCCCCGTGCTGGCGGCGGGCAATTCTGTAGGGAATCCTTAAAAAGATGGAATTTCTACCCCGGTTTCCCAGTGAGCCTCAAAACGTGGCGCACCAGCAACAAAAGTACCGATTTCTGGCACCACACCACTACGCTGCAGGCTGGATGAGTAATTTTAACAGCCCTACAAAGTTTACATGTTTAAATGATATATCCAAGCCATGCTGCCATCATTTCACCCAAAATGCATATTCTAGTTAGATCACTGGCTCTAACGATATACAAACAACGCATCATGGCAGTACTCTACTCTGAAGTTTCAGGAAAAAACAGTAATAACAAGCAGGATTGTTGAATTCCATTCTTGTCCCAGGATGCTGCTTTGTAACTATAATTCCCCAATGAAACAAAGTTGTTCTCTGGATATTTAATTATTTTTAGTTCCCCTCCGCAGCTGACTCATTGTGTCCTTTCCTGCTGTTGCTAAATTAACTTCCTCTCCCGGTCGTGGGGATGGATCCTGACACAATAAATCCGAGAAAAAATAATAATAATAAAAAAAAAAAATAATCCCATAGCCCGAGAGGAAGGATGTGGTGGCCAGGAGCACCGGGCTGGGGGCTGAGCCTGCAGTTTGCCACTTTTCCCCCACAATTTGGCACAAGTCCCCACGTCACCCTGCCCTCCACGGTCAGATGGGGATGTCCCCAGACCTCCTCCTCGGTTGAGCCGGGGACCCCCAGCCCGGTCGCGCTGTGCCCGTGGTACCCACCGCGCAGGGCAGGGATGCTGCGTGAGCTCACGCCACGTGCGAGCCCGTGCAAACCGACATCCAAGTCACCCCTGAGGGAAGGAAGCGACGCAGTTTCCCGAAAAATATATTTAGCTCTTTTCACCCACATTTTTTACAATGTTTTATCCTCCAGCCCAGCTTTCAGGCCAGCTCAGATCTGCTCTGCCCTCCGAGCTGCGATGCTCCGGGACTGGTCTCACGGAGGGGCATCCCCTGAGCGGATCCCCCCGAGCTGGTCTCAGTCTCCAGTGAAAACCCCGCTGCCAGCAGCCACCTCCTTCAAGGCACCAGGAGAACCCCAAAGCTGGTTAAGAAGCACGGCTGGGCGCCCCTGCAACCATTGCTGGAGGCACATTTGGGTGCCCTCCTCGGCGGTGAGGACCAAACCCACCCCTGATCTCCTGGGAGGGGCATCTCCCCACTGGCAGAAAAAAGGCCAATTTAAACCCGGGACATCAAAACCACAAAATGAATGAATTTTGTGGTTGTCTCAGCCCAGGGACCAAAGCCTTTGGGGCGCAGCCCCTTCCCCACCCAACGCAGAAGGCCACCGTGGGCAGACGGGCAGCACTGCTGCCTGCACCAGTCTGCCCACCAAATGCCTGTGACTGTCCCTCCGGCAACCGGCCCCCGCTTGAAACACACCCCCACACACACTATTGGGATTAAACAACCAAAAACACGGTGTCGGGGACGAGGCTGTGGAGTACACTCCATGTTGGCATCGTTGGCCAACATCATGTTGCATCAGAAGGAAACCGGCCTCCATGGCCACAGCAGTGGCTCTTCCGGTAGTCCACGGCAATGCTGGCGAGGGGGAGAGGTGGCCACGGCCACCTCAGCCCCGTTTGCTTTTCACAGCGTGAAGGGAAAGCTCAGAACGGGTGCACCTGGAGCAGGTCGGCTGGGGCGTCCCTGAGGTGGGAAGACCATGGCCACGGACCCAGCACCGTCGGGAACACTCCGGCCAGGCACGGCAGTGCTCGAGTCATCCTTAAGCGAGGTGAGGAAATAGGACAACATCAAGTTTTGTGCGCTTTAAACACGCAGCGATTGCTTACGGGCAAAACCAGCAGCCAAAATTTGACTCTACTGTGCATACGTTACCGCTTGCTTGAGTCAATGAAAACCCACTCAACGCTCTCGGGGCATTCTCCATCAGGGGAGGAAACCACCATCCCTTTTCTGTTGGGGATCAGCTCCCACACACCGCCGGTTACTGAGTTAGTAGATAAAACCCCTAAATTCCCAGCAAAGTTCAACAAAAGCACTCTCCCTGCCAAACCAGTGTTCCCAGCCGCGGGGCGCTCAGGGCAGGGTATGGAGGTGGCTTCCAGATCTGGAGAAATCTCAACTTGCCAAAACTACTTCACAAAATATCTATTTTATCATAAAGGTCAGAATAATTCAGAGAGTCCCTCCAAAGCTCAGCATCCTTCCAGCGCAGAGCAGCCAGTATAAGGCACTCACAACAAAGCCCCTCAAATTTAGGGACGGGATGGACCATGCCCTCCCTCTGATGATGCTCCCCTGAGCTTTAGCACTCCAAGTGCTTTCCACCTACTTCGCAGAGTTTTTTGTTTGTTTTTTTTGTTTTTAATCTTTGCCTAAACAAGGTGGCCTTCAGCCTCAGCCCTCTACAACTCAGGCTTAATTTTATTTTAAGTGGTTTGGGATGCGGGGTCAGTGTGTTCGGCCCCACGGACGGCGGGTCCTCCGCCGTACCACGCTGCAGCGTCCCTGCAGCCACAGGCCAGCCGCTCTCCGGCTCTGCCAGCGCCCCAGCCTGGGTTTCGTGCCATTTGAGGTTTTCTCCAGGGCCCATCTCTTGGGGTTATATTCTGCCACAAGAATTTGTATTCACTTTCATGAAAACGATGATGACAGCCTGGTAATTTCTACATGCCACAAAAGCCTACAAAACCCAAAAGATATCAAACAAAAGAAACCTAATAAAAAAAAAAATTAATGAGCACTTTGTATTTTAAGGTTGTGACTTTTATGGCCTGACTTTTATGGTTCGGTGTTTGGTGAGACCCTGGGAGCCGCGGGTGCCTGGTCTGCCTTGTGCGCAGCCAGCCTGACCCACAGTGACACCAGCACCCACCCAACCCACCATGACAGAAGCACCTCCCAACCCACCGCGACACCAGCACCTCCCAACCCACCGCGACACCAGCACCTCCCCAGCCCCCCGCG